CAAATTTTGACAGCTCTTCCAGACTGTCTGACTGCAATACTAATATTTTTGAAAACTGCAATAAAAACTGGCCCAATGTGAATCCCAGTGAAATTAATTTTATTCATAGGGGATATTCTTGTGATGTAGTATGTAGTGGTACATACTATTGCATAGTTTCTAGCCTATATAGTGATTAAGTGTCTTTAGATAGATAAGTCTCTAAGATAAACCTTAGCAATGAATGAACTATGCTACTATTACATTTCATTCAGATTCATCAGTGATCACATTTTGGAAGATATGCCACACATCCCATGCATTGGTCTCCTAGCAAGCCACAATAAGGTCATGATGGCATATCTGTGTAATGATATCCAGTGCAAGTATCAAAATCACTTCATTTATGTCATGATGTATGTGTCATCCCACCCCATTTTCCACACATTAGTGCTTGCAAGATTTTCTTTATGAGTTTCTTTAGCAAGAGTGAGGTTCTATCCTCCTAGGATGTTGGCGTTTTACATTTTAGAACCGTAAGTTGGAAAAAATTGCTTGATCTTCCTATAACAAACAATCTGCATATCATATATACAGTATATGAAGAATGATTTATTTTTGCTGAAAACACTAGTGTGTCGAAGATACTACATCTATCGTAATATCAACTAGAGAGGCAAGAAATATATAGATACTCCTTTAGCAACCACAGCTGGGACATGCAGTTCTGTGTTAAATCACTAAATGGAAATCACATGACTGACTGCTTTCCCTTTCCCCACTCCCCACCCTTTGCTACCATGCTTGTAGCTGCCAAAGCCAACTCTCTGCTTTTATGTGTATTCCGCATCGTCTGAACAGGGCAATTAGCAAGATTTACCTATAATGCATACACAATGGAATGCAGCTCTAGTATATTGTTGGCACTTCCATAGAGAGACTATTCAAAATGTTCTTGTACAGTAAACTTTAGGTATACAGTATATGGGTGTAAGTAGTTTTCAAAAATGAGTTCCAAAATACTTCTTACATTTCATGGGAAATTAGGTTCAAAAATGAATTGCCTTGGATCTAGACTATTTCCTCACATGAACTGCTTACAACAAGGATCTGGTATTTTTCTGTCCTCTCTTATTCCTAAAATATAGGAATACCAGAATTTTAAAAATGTCATTGTTGTCATAAACAACATTGGCTGTAGTCAAAACAATACGCTTGAGAACAGTTTTCGTGATAGAATGAACTATAAGCTAACCAAAAGGATGGAATTTAACATATCAGACAAAAATATGGCTTGTTAGGCGTATACCCTGCCTTTCCTCTTGGGTTCAAGGTAGCAAAGAGCATTTCCTCTTAACAAAGCCCCACTCTGGGATAAAGTGGTCTCAGTGAGAACAAGTACCTCAAATCACTCAGTGAGTTTCTGTGGTTGAAAAGGAACTTGATCTTGAATTTCTGAGGTCCTGCTACAATTCCTTAACCCCAAGACTAAGAACATCCTTGGTGGAGTATCAAGAAACTCCAGATCAAGAAATTCCAGAAACTCTACCACCAAACCCCTGCTTTTTTTTAATGCACATGGTACATGCATGCACATAAAAGAAAACATGGCTTTAAATGCTCAGTCACCGCTGCTTTTGTGACAATCCCCATTCCTGAACACCTTTCTTAGAACACTGTATGACCTCAAGCAGTATACTGATAGTCCTCGACTTACAACAGTTCATTTAGTGAGCGTTCAAAGTTACAACAGCATTGAAAAAAGTGACTTATGACCCGTTTTTCACACTTACGACTGTTGCAGCATGCCCATTGTCACGTGATCAAAATTGAGATGCTTGGCAACTGATTCACATTTATGACCTTTGCAGTATCCCGGGGTCATGTGAACCCCTTTTGCGACCTTCTGTCAAGCAAAATCAACGGGAAAGCTAGATTCATTTAACAACCGTGTTACTAATTTAACACCTGCAGTGATTCCCTTAACAACTGTGGCAAGAAAAGTCATAATATGGGGCAAAATTCACTTAACAAATATCTTACTTAGTGACAAAAATTTTCGGCTCAGTTGTGGCCGTAAGATGAGGACTACCTATACTCAGACGTTAATAGCTCATTACTTAAGCCGTTGACTTAAACCACAGATAAAAATGTAGGTGTTGAAGCTTCTTGTAAGAAGACATTAAGCTAGAGTCTTGCCATAAGGCCCTTTATTTTTCTTCATCTCTCTGCTGCTGAGAAGAACAGGCTTTTGCTCTGCTCCTGTAAGATTCATTGGAGAGAAGTAGCAGCTTGGTCAGAATATTAGGAACAGGAACTATCTGATGATCACACCTGCTGCTCTGTGAGTGGAAGGGGTGGGGCTATGGGATTCTGAATACTTTATCCACATTAGAGAGCACCTGTGCCAGAGGAGAGCTTTTTGTTGGTGGTTTTCCATAGCTGTAAGTGAGTGCTTGATGGAGAGGGGGGTGGATTCAGGAATTTGAGCCCCAGCACACTCACTCAAACATCAATCCATGTTAGAAGGGGAAACTAATTTTCAGAGGTAAATTGGACAAAGGTACTATAGGCAAGTGAACAGTGGTATTTTTAAACTCAAAGGTGTATTGTACTGAATAGACCAAATCCACTGGAGCCCTTCTGTCCTGCAATGGACTGGTTTCTTATGACTGCCCTGCAGCCAGTAGTTGAGCTTGTATAAAATGCTTATATGTAATTAAGTTAACCATGGTTTATTCAACTAAGCTACTTTCTGGCTACACATAACCTAAGAACCATATGCTGTAACTGCATAGGTTGGGTTTAAGCAACAAGCTGTCCTAAAATGTGATAGGCTGATATGTAGTCCAGTGTTTTGTGCCTACACAGGTACTTAATGTCTCCCCTCAGCTGCACAAGCCAGCTGTGTGATTTTGGCTCAATCATCTTATTATTCAGGCTAAGTGAGGTGTTGAAGTTATGTTTTAAGGGCAGGAAAGACATAGAACTTGATTAGAAGAATAAGGTAAGGAGTAAACATTGATCCTAAGGCACATATTTGCTTTCTTTTATTTATGTTCATTGTTGAAAAATGGTTGTGGTTTCATCTACTGAAACATGTATGTGCTTTTCTTAGGTAATGATGCCAGCAGCAAAGTACCTGACCTCTATGTCTTTGAAATTGAAATAATTCTAAATGCAGAAATAATTAAAAGGGCTATGCAACCTCCCTTCCCAGTCTTTCTGAGCCATAATGGGAAGGATGTGATTGGGGGAGGCTTTTTTCAAACTCATTCCTTCCAACTATGCTGAAGTTACAATTCCCAAATTGTCTGTTATCTCTTTTGACTATATTGAATTGAGATTTGTGGGACTGAGAATATCAGATTGAGAAAGACTAATATATGATATTAATATAACTGGTATAATTGTATAGGACATTAACTGAAACAAACAACCATTTTAAAAAAAAGTTTGTTGAGTTCCTTCTGAATTAATTACCCAGAAATAGTGGCCATTTTAAAAATAGTTTTACATCAAATCAAAACATTTTTCCAACTTTCCACAACTTGGCTTCCTCCAGATACTTTGTTACCAGTTTCAAACTAACCTGACCATTTGAAGGTTATTAATGAAAATTATAAAAGAGGGATGATTAAGAATTATTGGCAATGTAAATATTAGTTTATCTATTGATAATGAGAGGTTTTCTTTAAAACCTAAAATCATTTTTACAGAGTCCAGAATCAGGGTGCTCTTATAATTTTCCTAGGAAGATTAAATACTTTTGTAGCTCTCTTTTGATGTGGTTTTGAATAATTAGGGAAATAACTGGTACAAGCATTGAATCCTCTAATTAAAGAAGCACGGCATTAGTATTTTGGCCAATGTTTCCTTTAAAAACTCTTCACCACTTGTACTATATAAAACCACAGAAAAAAGTCTTCAGTGAGAATTAAGCAATATGAGTTTCTAGTTTCTTATTTTCCTTCTTTAGAAGAACAAGGGAAGATATGTAAGAGTAGGTTTTATCTACATAATGATTTTTTTTTGCAAATGAACAATCAATAGAATAATTGTTTGTATTAAGTAGAGTAAGCTAAAATGGATCCTACAGAGAAGAAAATATGAGAAAGAAGTTAAACCTCCTCTTTCAGAACATTAAACTTGAGATTAGGAGTGAATATCCTGTAAAGAAAGTAAAACTTCACCAGAGTCCTAGTCTTATGACTCTGTGTATTGTCAAAGTTTATATAAGATGCTTCATATGTTATTTCTCCCATATATGCATATGCAGAAGTGTGGGAAGCAATTGTAAGACACAAAAGTGTTTAGAACTCAGTTTGAAAAAGACTGACTTTCTTCTTCCAGTATAAAATCATTTTACCAATGACTTCTTCTGAGAATAGTGTTGGATTTTGAATAACATTATCTGGCTTTGAAAATTGCTTGGCCATAAAAATTAGCAACCTTGGGATACTTCAGTTTAGCAATCTTGGGATAATAGCTTATCATGAAGTATAATGAGCTTAGTATAACCTCAGTCCATTATACTTCACTAAGAAGATAAAAAGATAAAATAGTTTCCAAAAAAGTACCAAGCAAGTTTACTGCAATGTTTCTCAACCTCAGCAACGTTATGATTTTCAGACTTCAGTTCCCAGAATTCTCCATCTAGCATTTCTTGTTTTCTGCATACAGGGAATTCCATTACTCCCCCTCCTAGTCTTATTGCAATATAATGGGAATTATTGAAAAATGATTGGATTCTAGTTTAGGTAGACTTGAGTGTGGAGAGCTTATACATACTTTGCTTCCAATTATATGTTGGAATGTAGTCCAGTCTTAATACTTTTCCCCTTAATACTTTCCCCCATGCAAATTTCTTCACTGCACTGCTGTAACATGGAGACGTTACGTGGAGTGCTATCGTAGCTATTCCAACACTGTGTTGTTTTTGTCTCTCAAAAGTCTACATTATGCAACTTAGTAGTAACTAGGTTCTGCTTCACTTCCAAAGTTAAACTAGATGATTGGCCATGAATGCTAGTGGCCCAGGATATCCTCTAGCCTCTCTCTATGTGGGTGACCTGCATCCAGATGTTACTGAAGCCATGTTGTTCGAGAAGTTTTCACCTGCTGGGCCCATCATGTCCATCAGAGTTTGTCGAGATGTTGCCACACGACGATCTCTGGGTTATGCTTACATAAATTATCAACAGCCTGCTGATGGTAAGAACTTTTTTTGCTTGGTTTAATATTGATATTGTACAAAAATGCAATATATACTAAAATGCACTTTATTTTACTGTTTTTCCCCAAGTGGTTTGTCTTTAAAAGCTTTAGATTTTCTGAGAGGATATAGTTTCCTCTTCAGTCTTATTTTCCTTTTTCAGATGGAGGAGGAGTGTAATATCTTTTTCAGGGATAATAACTTTGAACTAATATTTCATATATGCATTATATAAATATTTATTATTTCTCATAATTGTGATAGATAGATAGATAGATAGATAGATAGATAGATAGATAGATAGATAGATAGATAGATAGATAGATAGATAGATAGATAACCTTTATTGTCATTTTTTACTGTGGGCACAATGGTACACATTAAAAATGAAATTTAGTTGCTTGCTCTCAAAGTGTACACACACATAACACACATTTAAACATACTATATACAACATATGTATAGAACTACACCCTTACATATAAGTAACATATAAATATTAATCACTGTCCATCTTGAATACATAACGAAAGGAGGAAGCTTTAGAGTTCACAAGGTTAATACTGTATGGAACAAAGCTGTGACTGAATCTGGATGTTCTGCTTTGGATACCATGGAACCTCCTCCCAAAAGGTAACAAGGAAAACAGGTCGTGAAGAGGATGTGTGGTGAAACAGACAATCTTGCGGACCCTGCTCAAGCAACACTTATGTGTTATGTCCTGGATGGAAGGGAGGGATCTGCCAATGATCTTTTCAGCCATCCTCACTTCTCTCCGCACCGCCTTCCTGTCTGAAGCAGTGATGCTTCTAAACCAGACTGTGATGCTGTGTGACAGGATGCTCTTGATCATCCCTCTGTAGAAAGTGTAAGGATAGAGGAAGGAAGATGAGCTTTTCTCATGCGACGCAGAAAATGCAGGCACTGCTGTGCCCCTTCACCAGTGTCTCGCTGTTGAGCGATCAAGCCAGCCTACTTGTTAACTGCACACCCAGGAATTTGATGCTGGTAACCATCTCCACAGGTGAATCATTAATGCACAGAGAAGTGTGGCTGTGCCTGCCTTTTCTGAAATCGACAATGATCTTTTTTAACTTTAACTCTTATTAACACTCAAACTTTCTTTTCCATTTTTAAAATGTGATATTTTCATTTCTCCAGCTCTTAATGGCAGTCTGTGCTCTTCTGTTAGTAACCAAAATGCCACTTATTTATCTATTTCAATCTGAAAAAATGGGAGAACTTTCAGAACTGGTGCTTTGAATTTTTAAAAAATGATAAAAAATAATATTGTCTTGAGAAAGCAAGTGCTGAAAAAAGGACCACCTCTTCTACTCATAATCTGCAAATGCAAATGTTATTTTTTAATGCCCAAAATCTTTATGGATTTTATTAATGGTGTCAGACATCAACAATGGTTAAAATGTAAGTGTTAATGATCATTAATTCAACCTGTCAAAATCACTCTAAATTCATAATTTCTGACAAGGCCCTTGTTTCCCAGTTAATTAATGTCTGAAACATCAAACTGAACATAAACAATTTAAACTTTGCATCTGAAATTTTTTTTTGATAAAGAAGAAATGCAATGAATATGCTACAGAACGATATATCACATGTTACTGAGTTGTATACTACAGCTTTAATTTTGATCATTTTAAATTTAGGATTTCACAGGCAAACAATTCCATGAAAACTAGTGATTTCTTAAACCCATATCCCGTCTCTTGTTTTCAAGACTTGGAGATAATCTATGTTGGTAATTTCGAACTATTTGAAAAGTTAGATGTTAGGTGCATTGCAATTTGTATTTCTCAAGTTTGTGTTTGATTTGTTGGTAAATGAATGTGCTTTTATTTTTCCTTCTTCAAGCTGAACGGGCCTTGGACACCATGAATTTTGAAGTTATAAAAGGTCGGCCCATTCGTATCATGTGGTCCCAGCGAGATCCCGGACTCAGGAAATCAGGTGTTGGGAATATTTTCATCAAGAATCTGGATGATTCCATTGATAACAAAGCCTTATATGATACATTCTCAGCTTTTGGAAATATTCTTTCTTGCAAAGTAGGTGAAATCTTTTCAGAAATCATAAAATATAGTTCTCTTGTTTTTTTGTATGATAAATGTTGCATTTTCTTCTGAAGTCTGAAATATATTCATGTGTCACTTTTTCGTATCAATGTTCAGGCTGTTATTGTTTAATGGCTTTCAATTTAATGAGACTTTCAATTATTCTGCCCTTGGGCAAAGCATCTACTGTACATTCTAGACCATTTCCCCACTTTCTCCCAGCATCTTTTCAGGATGGGACAAGAGATGATGTTTCTCAGCTGTCAGAATTACTAGAATGGCTCCAGAAGAGCAGCTGATTCTGAGGAACAGAATTAGATTAGATTCCTCTTCTCCCTGGAATTGGGAACTCTAGAACTGTATAAACTGATATCTCTCCAAATATGCTTCCATCCAGTAGCCATGTAATCTCCATCCAGCATCAACAGTACAGATTAGTTGGAGATTATGGGGCCTAAACCCAACATTCTTAGATGGCTTCAGGTTAAGTAGGTGATAGCTATTATTCTTAGGTCTTGTAACAGAGAACTGGGAATATAAAAGGCAAGCAATGGATTGGTTATCAGTTCCAAGTTTTGATTTGCTTCATTTCCTTTCTGTCATCCTTCTCTTAAATATCTTAACAGGTTGTTTGTGATGAGAATGGATCTAGGGGCTACGGCTTCGTCCATTTTGAGACTCACGAGGCAGCAAACAGAGCAATTGATACAATGAATGGAATGCTGCTAAATGATAGCAAGGTGTAAGTTGAAGCCTGAGCCGATGGTGCAATAATTTTTTTTCAGTGTATCCTTTACAATGGGAATAACCCGCAATTCTAGTATAGTTTAAAGAAACAGTCATGTGTTGGTGGTAAATGTAATAAGATCCAGGTTCAGGTCTAGGATCTCCTGTCTGAATCTTTGAAACTTAGTAGATCAATTATTAGTCGGGGTCAACAGAGTGAAATCAGTTAGGTTTACCAGGCAAATACATCAATTGGCATGAGGCGTTTTCTATATTTTGGGGTGGCTGCTGTAGTATTTTGCCTGGGAATTTACTTTCAGGTTTGACCTTTTAGATCAGAAATAGCCCAAGGTGATAGGTAGTCCCCAAACCCCTGGATGTGGCCCCCAGATTCTCTGAACAAGTTGCCCTCAGATTTCAATTCAAAGTGTATTAAAACGGGCCTGCAACCTTGACAACTTTAAGACTTGTGGATTTCAGCTCCCAGAATTCCTCAGCCACCTTAAGGATTCTGCCCTTGCAATACCCTTTTAGGAGATGGTTTCATATCTCCTATCTTGACCCTGCAGATTTGTTGGCCACTTTAAGTCCCGCCGAGAGCGTGAAGCAGAATATGGAGCCAAAGCAATGGAATTTACTAATGTCTACATCAAAAACTTTGGAGAGGACATGACTGATGAGAGGCTGCAAGAAATATTCTCAAAATTTGGTAAGGGTGGCACTTAAAAGTACTGCTTATAAATTAAGGGTTGTGAGCATAGGTTTAACAGCTTAGCAAAATAGCTATAGCACTTAGACTTATATACTGCTTCACAGTGCTTTACAGCATATACCCCCCCAACAATTTGGCTCCTCATTTTACCGACTTTGGAAGGATGGAAGGCTGAGTCAACCTTGAGTTAGTCAGGATCAAACTGCTGGCAGTTGGCAGAGTTAGCTTGCAATACTGCATTCTAACCACTGTGCCACTATGGCTTAGAATGCTGCTCCAGATTTTTTTGTGCAAAAGATACAGCCAGTAATGTGATCTAACCTACTTCCAAATAGGTAAAAACATTCCATTGTGAAATAAGAATTTGAAATCATAATCTAAGACAGTTGCATCAAGTGGAAGCCGCGTCCACCCCAGCTCCGGCAATGCAAAAAAAGTTGTGATACGTCGCAACACATCACGTGACATGGCGAGTTTGACACCCGTTATCTAAGCTATAAGGGTACAACAATTTTGCATCTGTTTTAAGGATATATTTTGGAAAGCTTTCACCATTTGTTGCTGTTCAGATGCAATGCTCATCACCTCCCCTAATCCTTTTGAATTTGTCTATTATCCCTAGGGAATGAAAACAGATAACCATTATATCTGGAGGGTACAAAATTATGGCTAGCTATATTTTTACATGTAAGCTAGTTTAAAAATGGTTTCTCTTTTTAACATCAGAGTTAGAAATTCCTTCTCTGTAATTATATGCATAACACCTGACCTGTTTGTCTTAAGCTATCTAACAAGTGGATGCACTTGGTAACAGGAAGACTTCATTGTAAGATATATAAAATGAAAAGGATGCCTAATATTTAGAGAATAATAACTTGATTTGTATGGATAACCATCTGATTTAAGCAACTCTAGATCACTCAAACTGCCATGAAACAAATTTGAATTTCCTAATGCAGAATTTAAAGACATGAAAAATACCTCCCTGAAGTAAAATTCCTCTGTGAGCCAAAGGTTTAAATGTAATATGGTACTTATAGAATGTGGTATTTATTGGCATGTATCCATCACTATCCATGAGTGGAGCTGAGCATCCTGTGGCTCAGCACTCAACGAAAACCTCCTTTCTTGTAGTATTAGCCTAAAAGTTTTTGTTCTACTTCCAGGAAAGACCTTGAGTGTCAAGGTCATGATAGATAATACAGGCCGCTCAAAAGGATTTGGTTTTGTCAATTTTGAGAAGCATCAAGATGCTCGGAAGGCAAGTTGATCTTCGTTCTCAATCTTCCTTTCTCTGTTAAAAAGTAATGGTGGGAGGAAAGTTTTGAGGAATATAATAAAAGTTTAAGAGGTTTTTTTTTAAGCTAATATCTTGTCATAGGTTGAACTAGTTATCCAATTATTTCCTCGGGCTGTGGCAGGATAGCATTTCATTCTTTGGCTAGTTCAAAGCAGGGCTTAATTAAAATAATAAATCCAATTAGTACGTGACTTAGAGCATTTCATTTAGTGACTGTTTGAAGTTACAACAGCACTGAAAAAAAGTAACTTACAACTGGTCCCCACACTTATGACTGTTGCAGCATCTCTGTGGTGACATGATCAAAATTTGGGCGCTTGGCAATCGGCAAGTTTTAGGACAGTTGCAGTGCCCGAGGATCATAGGATTGTCATTTGAGATTTTCTCAAGGGCTTCTGATAAATAAGATCAATGGGAGAAGCAAGATTCACTCAACAACTGCATGATTCATTTAACAGCTGCAGTGATTTGCTTAACAACCATGGCAAAAGTTGTAAAATGGTGCACAACTCACTTAACAAGCTGCCTTGCTTATTAATGGAAATTCTGATATCAGTTGTGGCTATAGGTCAAGGACTACCTATAATGAAATGATAAAGTAGGAGGTGATTTCCTGTGAAATAAATGTACAGCCTTGCCTGTCACCTCTTCTCACCACAGGCTGTTGAGCACATGGATGGAAGCGAGATCAATGGCCGAACAATATTTGTTGGCAGAGCCCAAAAGAGGATTGAACGACAAAATGAACTGAAGCGTAAATTTGAGCAACTCAAGCAGGAAAGAATGAGCCGATATCAGGTAATATCAGCTGAAGGCAATGTGTGGCAATGTCTTTTAGAAATCCCAAGTTCTGTTTTTGGACTGCAAAATTCACCTGTACTAGAATGAATGGGCTGGGCAAAGGGACACAGATGAAAGAAATGAAACCAGGAGAGGAATGAGAGGAGAAAAACTGAACTAAATTGCCTTTTCTGCTAAATGATCTCAAATGTCCTGTCTATGGCTGGCAATGATTCTTCATCTTGTTTTATAGTAGACTCTCATTTGATTCAGTCCCATAGTTACACATTTTATTGCGAGTTTTATTACAGTAATTTTCTCCATCCCTTCTCACACTCTGCCCCTTTCCTGTTCTGTACTGGGACCTATTGAACAGAAAGATGGATGAGATTGAGTTTAAGTGACTGTTGTTGGCTAATCCAATATTTTGGATGTTTTCTGATGACTCTAGCAATTAAATTCACTCTACTGTGTTGCTTTCATCCAGAAAGAGGCAGTTGGGGAATGGGGGCTGCCTGAAGGAAGAATGGACTATAGATCAATTGAAAGTTCCTGAACAGCAAGTGTGGGGTTGTTACAAAATAAGTGTAGTGATATATCTCTTCTTTTTATGCCTTTTGGTTAATGAGCAGAGTGTCCTTTCACAAGAAAAGTTCTCAAACTGTGGACAAACCTCATTTTCTTGTATTGTCTCTATTTTAATTTGGACCCAGTTTCCTATTCTGCATGATTCTTGCCTCATGTATAAACTGTAAGGCAGACATGTCAAACACAAGGCCCGGGGGCCGGATGCAGCCCGCGAAGTGGTTTCATGTGGCCCGCGAAGCCATTCTGGAAACAGCGAGGGAACGGCCTCCGCTGCCTTGGCCCTGGGCCAGGCCAGCCGGGAGCCAATGTACAATGTTGTGGTGGCCATCTTGGCACTTGCCCCGGTGGACATGCCTTGGCACTTGCCCCGGTCCCACCCCCTTCTGCCAGAGACCCTCAGATCTGTCCCACTCCTGCCCAGGCCCCCATAGGCACCCTTGACGCGAATGATGTAGAACTGGCCACGTCCACCCAGTAGGCCACACTCACTCCATCCACACCAACCCAGTAGGCTGCACCACTCTGGCCACACACACCCGCCCCCCCAGGGCAACCGCAATGCTGATACAGCCCTCAGTGAAATTGAGTTTGACACCCCTGCTCTAAGGTATATATTTTGCCCAAACAAAAAACAGAAATGTTGGCAAGATGTAACTGGATCAGAAGCTAACAAATACAGTAGTTTAAAAAACCTTTTCTAGAGGCCAATTCTGTCAGACTCATCCATATAGCCATATGTGGTTAATGGATACTCCTGTTTTGAAAATGTACATTCTGATAACCCCAGAAAGTGCTGAGTTGAGGTTCAAATGAAATTCCTCATATTTCTCACATGGGGAACTTTTCAGTTAATCACTTTTTCTGATAATTAGTTCTTCCTTATCTTTGTGACATGGAAAGTATATGTAGAGTATTGTAATCCAGGAGTCAGGAGGAATTTAGGGGGGTCATTTTTGTAAAATATGAACATGGCTAGATGGCTTAGGACTTGGATATCTATGGACTGCCTTCAGCCAGTGGCTTCTGTCCACTAATTAAAATTGGAGTGAAGTCTTTTCAGGTCCTTTCTCTTAAGGAATGCCATCTTTAGGGACCTTAAGATTGAGTCTTCTCAGTTGCTGTCCTCCTCCTTGGGAACAGCATTCTTCTCAAGATTAGGTTTGGTCCCATCTCATTGTTTTTTCACAAACTGTTAACATTTTCCTGAAAGGGTGGTGATAGATTGATTATTAAAGGGATCATCCTGCCATGAATATTTTCAAGCATAACTTTTTATTTTTGATAAAGAATGACCACTTGTCTGATAAAGCTAATCCTAAACCCTAGATACTTCTCTTGATGGCACATAAGATTTTTTCAGCCTTATGATACTGGATGATGTCACTTATATGTATGTATTCATTACAAAAGTCGTGTCTAAATATCATTTATGATGAATGCAAAAAGTGGCTGTGCTTGTTTGCTTTCAGGGAGTAAACTTGTATGTAAAGAACCTGGATGATGGTATTGGTGATGAGCAGTTAAGAAAAGAATTCTCACCCTATGGAACCATCACAAGTGCCAAGGTCAGATTCTAATATCTGAGTATCTTTGCATATTTGATGTGAATGCTTGCTAGCTGTTCTCACCAATTGAAAATAGTACTGGGCTGTATCCTTTCAGAATGCAGTTTGAACTTGTTTCATAATTTCCTTTACCAAAACGTAGTGGATTTTTAATATGTAGGGATGCATGACATGGAATGAATAATAATCACAGGAGCTCTCACTTGCACTGCTGTCCCTTCTTAATTTTTTTTATTGATTTTATTTATTAATATGCTTAAACCTTCCAATAACCAAAGCTCATTTTATGACACCAAGTCGGTCTCCATGTAATTATAATTAATTACCCCCCTCTATACCTTGTATTTTCTGCAGTAATTCTGATTGCTATGTCTTTTATTTAAAATATTTTAATCTATTTTTTCTGCCTGAAAGCACAAAATACAAGATTTGTTTTGTACAGTTGTTGAATGCAGGGGGATAGCAGTATGGCTTACTGATATATATATATAAGATTATCTATTCTATTATCCAATAGAACCAAATTTCTGCAAATTCTCTCTCTCTCTCTCTCTCTCTCTCTCTCTCTCTCTCTCTCTCTCTCTCTCTCTCTCTCTCTCTCTCTCTGTATAAGTCTTGAAATGCAGTCTTGAAATAATAAACTAATTTAATACATTGATTACTATGTGTTAAAAGCTATGTAACAGGTTGGGCACAGTATAATATGAAGCTTGTAATAAGGACCAGGGAAGGACATTTAGAATTGAATCAATTAGCGTCATTTCCCTGGTATATACTGTTTCACCAGCAAGGCAGATTCTAAAGCTGATGCATCTTCAAATCTGTCCTACAGTTTTGGAAAAAATCTGGGACTTCTGCTTGAAGAAAAGTGAAAAGAAATCTGTTCCATATTGTTGGATATAACTGTTAGTTTTCAATTGAAAACAAGAATTTAATTGAGAGTTTTAATATTTCCAAACTTTCTTAATTGCAACTGTTAATATAACAAAAGAATTTAATTTTTGACAGTAAAGATGCAATATCCAGTTCAGTTACCATGTGCTTAGACTTTTAGCTGCTTTATTAGGATAGGACCTTGTCTGAGGTATACCATCGTGGAAGTAGTCTACACTTCATACCCCTGGGATAATCTCATTGCAGTCATACCAGAAGCCATTAGATGGTTAGCTTCCTTAGATATTGAATTGGAAAATCTATCCTATTGTGACTCTCTGGTGCCACATTATGGAGATTTTATCATGGTTTTACCTTAATTTAATATTTTATCTCATGTATTGTATTGTACACATACACAAACGCGCTGATGCTTTATGTAAATGCGTATTTGTGTATTAGTGTTGTATATCAGTGATTGCATGACCTCTGTAGATGCCATATGCTAAATAAAACAAAATTTAATTGCACTATTTGTAAGCACCATCTTGTCTGGTTTGCCCGTACTGACCAGGGTGGACATCCCTGTCTGTGCTGAGAGTCATGGGCTCAGTGGACTTTGTTTTAATTTTCCATTCAGGTAATGACAGATGGCGGACACAGCAAAGGTTTTGGGTTTGTATGTTTTTCTTCTCCAGAAGAAGCGACAAAGGCTGTGACTGAAATGAATGGACGCATCGTCAGCACTAAGCCTTTGTATGTTGCCCTTGCCCAACGGAAAGAGGAGCGAAAAGCCATTCTCACCAACCAATACATGCAGAGATTGGCCACCATGAGGGCCTTTCCTGGTCCCTTCCTATATTCTTTCCAACCGCCTGCAGGCTACTTCCTGCCCCCAATTCCACAGGTAAGACCAACAAGAATACCACTTCCATTACAGATACATAAATAAAGCTAACAGCATTTGACAGCACAGAACTCAAGGAATAGGAAAACACCTCCCTTGAGATGCATATTTTAAAATGTGCCATCAGGCATCAGAATCAGATTTATATAACTGGGGCATGTAAGTGATTAGGATGGACTACTTTTTTTTTTTCAACCTGGGGACTCTATTTTGCCTTTGTGCCTGCCTGTGGGCACAACAGTGTGCCAATGATATCATGGCATCACCAGGGAGCTTCTTTTTGTTTTGGGCCCAGAGATGGGAGTGAAATGCATTCTCCTTAATCTTCACAGAGAGATAAAGGATTTATTTGATCCTTAAAATATTACAACAAAAAATGGGGGAAAATTAGATTTTTGGTACCATGTAACACCAAGTTAGAATTTTGTTAGTGCCTAACATCATTCTTATGGGCATTATTTCCACAAGGTAATTATGCACTCTGTGAAGAAGTATTATTTTGGCTCTTCGAAATCTAATCAACTTTATTTGAATGCCCTCAAATTTTAATGTTATAAGAGAAGTCTGAAAAGCAAACTATGAATTGTTGCAAATANTTAAAAGTAATTTTAATCGGAAACACAGCTGGCAATATTTGGTTTTTAATTCGGCTTTTATTGGGGTTTATATTTTTGTATTTCTGTATTTTTGTATTTTGTGTATAGTATTTGTTTTTTAATATGCTGTGAACCGCCCTGAGTCCTATGGGAGAAGGGCGGTATACAAATTAAATTAACATTAACATTAACATTAACAGCAAGTGTAGGGTTGTTACAAAATAAGTGTAGTGATATATCTCTTCTTTTTATGCCTTTTGGTTAATGAGCAGAGTGTCCTTTCACAAGAAAAGTTCTCAAACTGTGGACAAACCTCATTTTCTTGTATTGTCTCTATTTTAATTTGGACCCAGTTTCCTATTCTGCATGATTCTTGCCTCATGTATAAACTGTAAGGCAGACATGTCAAACACAAGGCCCGGGGGCCGGATGCAGCCCGCGAAGTGGTTTCATGTGGCCCGCGAAGCCATTCTGGAAACAGCGAGGGAACGGCCTCCGCTGCCTTGGCCCTGGGCCAGGCCAGCCGGGAGCCAATGTACAATTTTGTGGTGGCCATCTTGGCACTTGCCCCGGTGGACATGCCTTGGCACTTGCCCCGGTCCCACCCCCTTCTGCCAGAGACCCTCAGATCTGTCCCACTCCTGCCCAGGCCCCCATAGGCACCCTTGACGCGAATGATGTAGAACTGGCCACGTCCACCCAGTAGGCCACACTCACTCCATCCACACCAACCCAGTAGGCTGCACCACTCTGGCCACACACACACCCCCCAGGGCAACCGCAATGCTGATACAGCCCTCAGTGAAATTGAGTTTGACACCCCTGCTCTAAGGTATATATTTTGCCCAAACAAAAAACAGAAATGTTGGCAAGATGTAACTGGATCAGAAGCTAACAAATACAGTAGTTTAAAAAAACCTTTTCTAGAGGCCAATTCTGTCAGACTCATCCATATAGCCATATGTGGTTAATGGATACTCCTGTTTTGAAAATGTACATTCTGATAACCCCAGAAAGTGCTGAGTTGAGGTTCAAATGAAATTCCTCATATTTCTCAAATGGGGAACTTTTCAGTTAATCACTTTTTCTGATAATTAGTTCTTCCTTATCTTTGTGACATGGAAAGTATATGTAGAGTATTGTAATCCAGGAGTCAGGAGGAATTTGGGGGGTTCATTTTTGTAAAATATGAACATGGCTAGATGGCTTAGGACTTGGATATCTATGGACTGCCTTCAGCCAGTGGCTTCTGTCCACTAATTAAAATTGGAGTGAAGTCTTTTCAGGTCCTTTCTCTTAAGGAATGCCATCTTTAGGGACCTTAAGATTGAGTCTTCTCAGTTGCTGTCCTCCTCCTTGGGAACAGCATTCTTCTCAAGATTAGGTTTGGTCCCATCTCATTGTTTTTTCACAAACTGTTAACATTTTCCTGAAAGGGTGGTGATAGATTGATTATTAAAGGGATCATCCTGCCATGAATATTTTCAAGCATAACTTTTTATTTTTGATAAAGAATGACCACTTGTCTGATAAAGCTAATCCTAAACCCTAGATACTTCTCTTGATGGCACATAAGATTCTTTCAGCCTTATGATACTGGATGATGTCACTTATATGTATGTATTCATTACAAAAGTCGTGTCTAAATATCATTTATGATGAATGCAAAAAGTGGCTGTGCTTGTTTGCTTTCAGGGAGTAAACTTGTATGTAAAGAACCTGGATGATGGTATTGGTGATGAGCAGTTAAGAAAAGAATTCTCACCCTATGGAACCATCACAAGTGCCAAGGTCAGATTCTAATATCTGAGTATCTTTGCATATTTGATGTGGATGCTTGCTAGCTGTTCTCACCAATTGAAAATAGTACTGGGCTGTATCCTTTCAGAATGCAGTTTGAACTTGTTTCATAATTTCCTTTACCAAAACGTAGTGGATTTTTAATATGTAGGGATGCATGACATGGAATGAATAATAATCACAGGAGCTCTCACTTGCACTGCTGTCCCTTCTTAATATTTTTTATTGATTTTACTTATTAATATGCTTAAACCTTCCAATAACCAAAGCTCATTTTATGACACCAAGTCGGTCTCCATGTAATTATAATTAATTACCCCCCTCTATGCCTTGTATTTTCTGCAGTAATTCTGATTGCTATGTCTTTTATTTAAAATATTTTAATCTATTTTTTCTGCCTGAAAGCACAAAATACAAGATTTGTTTTGTACAGTTGTTGAATGCAGGGGGATAGCAATATGGCTTACTGATATATATATAAGATTATCTATTCTATTATCCAATAGAACCAAATTTCTGCAAATTCTCTCTCTCTCTCTCTCTCTCTCTCTCTCTCTCTCTCTCTCTCTCTCTCTCTCTCTCTCTCTCTCTCTCTCTCTCTCTCTCTCTCTCTCTCTCTCTCGCTCTCTGTATAAGTCTTGAAATGCTGTCTTGAAATAATAAACTAATTTAATACATTGATTACTATGTGTTAAAAGCTATGTAACAGGTTGGGCACAGTATAATATGAAGCTTGTAATAAGGACCAGGGAAGGACATTTAGAATTGAATCAATTAGCGTCATTTCCCTGGTATATACTGTTTCACCAGCAAGGCAGATTCTAAAGCTGATGCATCTTCAAATCTGTTCTACAGTTTTGGAAAAAATCTGGGACTTCTGCTTGAAGAAAAGTGAAAAGAAATCTGTTCCATTTTGTTGGATATAACTGTTAGTTTTCCATTGAAAACAAGAATTTAATTGAGAGTTTTAATATTTCCAAACTTTCTTAATTGCAACTGTTAATATAACAAAAGAAGTTAATTTTTGACAGTAAAGATGCAATATCCAGTTCAGTTACCATGTGCTTAGACTTTTAGCTGCTCTGTTAGGATAGGACCTTGTCTGAGGTATACCATCGTGGAAGTAGTCTACACTTCATACCCCTGGGATGATCTCATACCAGAAGCCGTTTGATGGTTAGCTTCCTTAGATATTGAATTGGAAAATCTATCCTATTGTGACTCTATGGTGCCACATTATGGAGATTTTATCATGGTTTTACCTTAATTTAATATTTTATCTCATGTATTGTATTGCACACATACACAAACGCGCTGATGCTTTATGCAAATGCGTATTTGTGTATTAGTGTTGTGTATCAGTGATTGCATGACCTCTGTAGATGCCATATGCTAAATAAAACAAAATTTAATTGCACTATTTGTAAGCACCATCTTGTCTGGTTTGCCCGTACTGACCAGGGTGGACATCCCTGTCTGTGCTGAGAGTCATGGGCTCAGTGGACTTTGTTTTAATTTTCCATTCAGGTAATGACAGATGGCGGACACAGCAAAGGTTTTGGGTTTGTATGTTTTTCTTCTCCAGAAGAAGCGACAAAGGCTGTGACTGAAATGAATGGACGCATCGTCAGCACTAAGCCTTTGTATGTTGCCCTTGCCCAACGGAAAGAGGAGCGAAAAGCCATTCTCACCAACCAATACATGCAGAGACTGGCCACCATGAGGGCCTTTCCTGGTCCCTTCCTATATTCTTTCCAACCGCCTGCAGGCTACTTCCTGCCCCCAATTCCACAGGTAAGACCAACAAGAATACCACTTCCATTACAGATACATAAATAAAGCTAACAGCATTTGACAGCACAGAACTCAAGGAACAGGAAAACACCTCCCTTGAGATGCATATTTTAAAATGTGCCATCAGGCATCAGAATCAAATTTATATAACTGGGGCATGTAAGTGATTAGGATGGACTACTTTTTTTTTTTCAACCTGGGGACTCTATTTTGCCTTTGTGCCTGCCTGTGGGCACAACAGTGTGCCAATGATATCATGGCATCACCAGGGAGCTTTTTTTTTTGTTTTGGGCCCAGAGATGGGAGTGAAATGCATTCTCCTTAATCTTCACAGAGAGATAAAGGATTTATTTGATCCTTAAAATATTACAACAAAAAATGGGGGAAAATTAGATTTATGGTACCATGTAACACCAAGTTAGAATTTTGTTAGTGCCTAACATCATTCTTATGGGCATTATTTCCACAAGGTAATTATGCACTCTGTGAAGAAGTATTATTTTGGCTCTTCGAAATCTAATCAACTTTATTTGAATGCCCTCAAATTTTAATGTTATAAGAGAAGTCTGAAAAGCAAACTATGAATTGTTGCAAATAAGAAACAAAGTGAATTGTTGCATGTGAAGAGAGGTTTCATCATTGTTCATTCACCAACCTTTGATTGAAATCTGTAGTCCAATACATTTGAAATTCACTAGGTTGACAACAGCTTCATATAGTCATCTCCAGCCAGGAACATTATTCAGTTATGCATATAACTGAAGCCTTGACTGGAAAATAAAAAGACAATAGCAAAACATTTTCATATTGTTGCCATGAAACCTGCCTGGAAACCTGCCATGAAACCTTAATGAATTCATCAATCATTGGGTTAGGTCTGAAAATCCCAATCTGGAGGCACCGGATTGGGAAAAAGTGCTTAGATTTATAATCCTAGTGCAGGATAGCAACAATCTATAATAATACTGGAACTACAAAAATAAAAACATCACAGAACTTATAAAATCCCCATTTTGGTTCCTTCATATGCTCAAAATGTTAATGATGTGTAAAAATAAACATATTGTTCGTTTATATACATTGTCATGCCATCTTCTCTTCCTTCTTCTCAGCCACAAACTAGAACTACTTTCTACAGTCCTAGCCCAGTTGCCCCGGTCCGCCCAGCCCCTCGCTGGAACACTCAGTCCTCCAGGCCTCCTTGTGAGTTGAAATGTTATTAACCAGAAAATATGTGTGAGAATGTAAGGAAATGAGATTGCCCATGTGTGAAGTTCTTCCTTTAATGCCATGGTGTAGGACTAAGACATGTTCTTAAAATAGCAAACTATGATTCAAATATTATGGGGGTAGTGTCCATGGCTGGTAGTCTTAATTGTAAGTTCAGTAATGAGAATGAAACAGAATTCTGGTATTAACTCCTGCTATGATCTCATCCATAAATAAGGTTTCTGACTGAAGGTATTTAATTGTTGTTAGCATCCTATCATGCAGCTACGCCAATGGTAAGAGCTAATGGACCGCCTCGCCGCTTCGTTTCCAACATCAGCACTATGAGACAAGCCTCCACTCAAGTTCCCAGAATACCATCCACTGGCCAGAGAGTGGGTAGGTTTGGGGCTTCTGTTAGCTCATCGTCCAGATGAACGCAACTTATATCTCTCAAGGGAATGGGTTTGCTTTGGTTTTTGAATCACTGACCAGAAACAGGGGGGGGAATGATCCTTAAAGTTTGCATATTAAATTCTACAATGTGCTATTTATTTCTTAATATAAAACCTAAATATAAAACCTTCCCATATTCTAAGTTTTGGAAGTCTATTGCTGTGTAGCATGATTGGAAAATATAGTCTGAGACTATAGTACTATAATGTAATGTCAATCTGGATTTTGTTTTGGCTTACTGAGCAAGCCATGGGAGTTGGCCAAAAGGAATGAGTTTACACAAAGCTAAAACAAATAACACACATTATGGCTTAATATTAAGTGTAACCCAAGAAATTAAATTTATTGCTTAATTGGGCTAAATGTGTTGACGGCAGACGGATGAAAATGTAACTTTTTGGGTGCCTGCTTTGGACAAAATGATCACCAAGAGTTTTATGTCCGATGTAATCTTTCTTCCTGGAGTGTCACTGGGTATATCTTTCCACTTTTGTACCATGTATCATGCATGTGAGATCTGGCAAGGATATTACAGATCTGTACCTTCCCAGGTTTGGGTGCAATGCAGAACTCTATTTTAAAAGTGTTTTTAAAAAATAAACATGTAATGTTGTGGAACAATTAAAGCCTTTCTTCAAAATATTTCTGGTTTTATTTCAGTCAACATTGGAACCCAGACCATTAGTGCAAGAGCATCCTGTTCTCCAACTTTCTCACATGGTATCTCGCAGTACAAGTATTCTTCAGCTGTGAGGAATGTCCATCCTTTGGGTGCAGTGACATCTCTGCCAATGCAGCAGGTCTCTACTCTTCCATTCTGCAGTGAAAATACACGCTTAGATGCAAAAGCTAACTGCTCTTAGATGGGTTATTTTTGAGATACTGAATTTGGCAAATTGTAGCAGAGATATGTAGAGCTGGGATTCTGATTTGGGAGTGGTCTTAAGCTGGATATCAGGGAGAACTCACTCACTGAGAAACCAGTGAGCCAGATCATTAGCCACTTCATGTTTGCACACTTGGTTGACTAGGTAAAGTGACCAGATTACCAATATCATTCCTTTCCCATGTTTCCCTCTAGATGGAAAAGGAGAGCACTGCACTCCTGAAATTCCTAGTGCTATTATTATACTTAAAATACAAGATTGTTCTCTTCTGCATTTGATTACACAAAAGCATATCTTCATTAAAAGATATATAAGATTGAGTGTACACTTCAAGGTACTTTCAGTATCTGTCCAGGGGTCAGAACATAGTGGGGACCTTGGAGCTACAATGATTGACAGCAACTTTCCATCCTTTAAGACAACTCTGCTTTCAGAAATTAAGGATTAGATCTATGGCTTTCTGTATGAAAAGGAGCTATTATACTACAACATTCCATCTTTTGATTTAACTTAAGCTATATAATGATTATTGCATGGTGTATAGAAATCAAAGGTATTGTATTGTTTCTTCAATATGGCCAGGAGAAAAAATTCTTTCACTGGATAAGATTTGAGTTGGACAGATACTGATATTAAAGCTGCTATAGAGAAGAAGAAAAACTCTAACAAATGCATTCTTCACAGAGTGTCATCAATTGATATTAGTTGTTCAGCAGGAATGGAAGGGCTCTTCTCAGTATATTTTGTTTCTTGGGCTTTAGGCTGTAGAACCAATCATTCATATCCAGGGACAGGAGCCCTTGACCACATCCATGTTGGCTGCAGCCCCTCCTCAAGAACAGAAACAAATACTTGGTGAGTGGTGTGTATCCTCTTCTAATAGGCAGTACTGTGAACTTCCCCCTCAGCCAAAACTTTCTTAGAGAAAAAGTTATAATCAAATATTTTATCCTTTTGAGTTACCACAGTTTAGCTTAGAAAACAATGTTCCCTAAAAAAGATGTACATCAATCAATCAGTTTTCCAGTCCAACCCCAAGCAGCTCTCCAGTCTCGTCTTAAAAAACCGCCAGTGATGAAGCATCCACAACTTCTGAAGACAAGCTGTTCCACTGGTTAATTGTCCTCACTGTTAGGCAGTTTCTCCTTAATTCCAGGTTCCTTCTCTCTTTGATTAGTTTCTATCCATTGTTTCTTGCCAATAGATGTACATGTACTGCTTAACAACAGTACAGTTATTGGGACTGAAAACTCTATTGCTAAGCAATGTGGTAGTAAAATGTGATGTCATGTGACTGCACCAACTTATGACTGCAGTTCTGGCAATTCTGGATGCTGTCATTAACAAAATCCTTCCTGGTCATTAAGTGCAATGTCATGTGATCACCATTTGTGACTTCCTGCTGTCTTCCCCATTAACTATCCTTGTCAGAAGCCAGTTGTGAAGATTGCAAATTGAGACATGTGACCATGTAACACCACAACTATTGTAATTGCAATCCAGTTGCAAGTGCTTGAATTGCAATTGACTGAAGAGATGCTGCAATGGATGCAACTATGAGGACCAGTCAGAAAACTCATTCAGTGCCATCATAGTCACTGAATGAATGATTGTTAAGCAAAGACTCCTTGTATTATGCTAGTTCTAAATTCTGTCTATCATAATGTTTTCTACAAATTATCTAAAGCTTTTATTTATTTATTTAGAAATTCACATGGCCGCCTATCTGATACAAGATAATCCTAGGCAACTCACAACAACATTAAATAAAATCAGAATAAATGAAACATTTAAGTTCATATATTCCAAACATAGTGCTGCAAAGTCATATAATTTTCCATGCTCTTGCATTTGCTGAATCCATTTCTATCCTAGCCCAAAGCCTGAGTGAAGAGCCAAGTCTTTATAGTTCTCTTAAAGGTTAATACAGTGGGTAGCGTCCAAATCTCGGGGAAGCTGTTGAAATAGACTAATGGCATATACAGTATTTTAGAAGGTTAGTTTATTAAACGAATGCTCTACAACTCTGTATGTAGAACATGTATAGGAATAAACCAGAATAAATCAAATTGTAGTAAAAAGATCGGGAGAAATGCATCTTTTAGCTGATAAGATGCTACTTCTTTTCTATTGCAAGGGATGAGAATTATTATCCAATTATCTTCACAGACTTAGGTTTCTAGTCTCACCCTGAATTATATGCTTCTGGCCACCACACTGAGTCCTGGAGTCAGCATTTGTTGCTTTTTCCTCCTCTGCCCCAGTGCTTCTGGACAATACAGACGCAAGAAATATGCTAAGGAAAAAATCTCGCTTCATGAGTTAGTTCAGTGTTGCCCATGTGCACTTTATAGCATTTAGAATAAAGCAAGCAAAAGAGATGAAATTGTTACAGTGGGTACTGGAGAGAAAAGAGGGAGAGGTATTGCCTTGGTAAATCCTAAACCTTGAGTTTTCCAGTTTCAATCACTTGATAAACAAATGATAAACCTTACTTCAATCAACTTCAATTTGTAATGCCTTTATAGGCACATTGTGTAGAGGTTTTGGGGTAACAGTGCAGAAGTTGTCACCTTGGATGTTTTTGTCAACTTCCCAATGTAGCCTATACCTTCGTAGAGCCTTCCTACCTGACTTTAATCAAGATAAAGTCTATTTAGTTTTTTGAAATCAGCCTAAATCATCGAGTGGTTCCTACAGGACAGTTCTTCATGATACATGATTTTATCTTTTTTTTTTTTTTTGCTGTGCATAGGTGAACGTCTCTATCCTCTAATTCATGCAAGGCACCCCACTCTGGCTGGAAAGATTACAGGCATGCTGTTGGAGATAGATAATTCTGATCTGCTTCTCATGCTGGAGTCACCAGAATCCCTTCAGTCTAAGGTACTGGGATTCCATGCTTAAAAATGCCCTAATTCTGCAATTCCAAATTTTTCAGGTGGAATGAACTGTCCTACTTTGTATTAGGTTGGTCTGCATAGTTAATTTGTCTCAGTAGCATGTCCTTGGCTGTTTTTCAATTCAGTTTTTACCAAGCAGACTGATTTTCCGCCTGCTTTGTTCTTTCATATCTCCTGATTATTCCTTGTGCTACTGTACAAAATTGGGGTTATGTAATTGTCCTTTAAGTGTTGCATGGATCCACAAATGCATATCTGTTTTAACTTTTCAATGGTGATCCATTATAATGATAGCATGAGGGAAGAACACATACCAACAGCCTAGAAATATTAACTGTACAGTATTCACTCCTATACACCTTCACTCCTGTTTCAACCTTATGAACATAGGGCTACTGGAAGAGTGATAGCAAAGGTTCACCTAGTCCATTGTTCTGTCTCCTGTAATAGCCAACCAGATGCCTCTAGAAAGGATGACATTATCAAAATAGCGCTACCAAGTTACTGACTTAGAATCTAGCGGTTGCATATACTGATAATGTATTTATTACTGGTCTGATCTATTGTAGTATGATATGGGAGTGCTACTCTGAGTATGATAAGTTCTAAGAATGATCAGAACTGTGGTCAGCAGAAAGCATGGTAGATTGGGAAAATGATAGATTTGTTTAAAAAGGCAGTGTGAATGAACTGTGATAAGGAAGAAAATCTGTTATATATCTATATTCATGTACCTGTATTGAAGCAGGTTTGATCCTAGAAGGACAGATTGACTACAGGCAATTGTTGACTTACAGCCACAATTGAGCCCAAACTTTCCATTGCTAAGCAAGGGGTTTTTAAGTGAGTTGTG